CAGAAATGGCAGGGAAATGAGTTAATGTCATCAATTGCAGACATAATTTAATAAGATGGATAAATGGTCTGACTTGCATAAGGCAACTGGGCAACTAAAATGATCAAGGGTCTGGAGAACAAGCCCTATGAGGAGCGGCTTAAGGAGCTGGGCATGTTTAGCCTGAAGAAGAGAAGGCTGAGAGGAGACATGATGGCTATGTATAAATATGTGAGAGAACGTCACAGGGAGGAGGGAGCAAGCTTGTTTTCTGCTTCCCTGGAGACTAGGACGCAGAACAATGGCTTCAAACTACAAGAAAGGAGATTCCATCTGAACATGAGGAAGAACTTCCTGAATGCGAAAGCCATTCAGCAGTGGAACACTCTGCCCCGGAGTGTGGTGGAGGCTCCTTCTTTGGAGGTTTTTAAACAGAGGCTAGATGGCCATCTGTCAGAAGGGCTTTGAATGCAATATTTCTGCTTCTTGGCAGGGGGTTGGACTGGATGGCCCATGAGGTCTCTTCCAACTCTATGATTCCATGACTCCATGAGTTTACCCCACCGGGTGACACCAACCCTAGTAATGGCTAACCAGAAGCTCCTGGGGATCAGTAAACTTTAACTGGGAATTCATCTGAGAAAAGACATGGCTGGTCCCAAAATTAATGAGAAAGAATATATGTGTGTATGTGTCTGTGTGAAGCACAGAAGGGTCATGAAAGGAAAGTGGGGGTTGGGGCAGGTGAAGGGGGAAACCAGACAAAAAGTTTGGCCTTCCTCAGTTGAATCAATGCTTTGTATCAGTTGGTAGAAGTTTTTGCATCTTGTCAGGGGAGAAAATTCAGAGGAGTATGGAGCAGTATCCTTCAACTTCAAAAACAGACAGCAACGTAGCTCTTCATGCAAGGCTGCTCTGAACACTTCCCCACCCACCTAAGTACGGCCCTGACTTGGCTCAATGTGGTTTCTTTCCCGAAGCTCCAAACCCACCTCAAAGGACATCATTTTGGGATAGTTGAAAACGTGGAAGCAGCTGCAAGGAGGGATTTGAACAAAATCTTAAGGGAAGACATCCTCCACTGCTATGAGAAGTGACATTTTATTTATTTTTGCCTTACCTTGCAGGGGATAAACTGTAATTGTATGTATGTTCAATAGAATTTTTTTTAAAAAAATATTTTTATTACTTTTGGGAGAAACCATGTTTAGAAAAGCTTATGCTAAGAACTTTGCTCTCTTTCTCTGATTTGGCTTCCATAATAAATTGGGGCATCAGGAGATAGAATCCTTAATTTTTCCAAAAGGACCATAAGGATGATGACCATCTTTTTGGAACTGGGATAAAGCCCCATCAATACTATTATATAATCCAGTTACTTAATCCAGACTATCATATTTGGATTATAGTATAGAGTCATTTAATCCAGTAAAAAGCAGATAATATGGAAGCCCCTTCCACCCAGCTGTATAAAATCTCACTTTATCTGCTTTGAACTGGTTTATATAGCAATGTGGACTCAGCTAATCCAGTTCAGTGCAGATATTGCCCTTCCATGCAGCCCTATAACCCAGAATATCAAGGCAAAAAAACCCAAAAAACACAAAACCACAATATCTGCTTTGAACTGGTTTATCTGAGTCCACACTGCCATATATTCCAGGTCAAAACACATAATGTGGGATTTTATTCAGAGGCCCTTGTGGATTAGAAGCCTTGATATTCTGGGTTATATGGCTGTGTGGAAGGGCCCAAATTCAGAATAATAGGGATTATATGGCAGTTTAGATCCAGCCTGGGAGAAGGCTTTCAACTACAGTAGAGTCTCGCTTATCCAAACTTCGCTTATCCAGTGTTCTGTATTACCCAACAAAGTTGGCCTCCCCCCGGACCCACAGCTGTTTCAATACATTGCGATGTCTTGGTGCTAAATTCGTAAATAGAGTAATTACTACATAACGTTACCATGTACTGAACTGCCAATTTGTTGTAAAGCATGACGTTTTGGTGCTTAATTTGTAAAATCATAATGCAATTTGACATTTAATAGGCTTTCCCTAATCCCTTATTATCCAACATTTTCGCTTTTCCAATGTTCTTCTGGCCTGTTTATGTTGGATAAGCGAGACTCTACTGTAGTTGGAAGCAGGGCAGCTTCTTCTCCTTGTCTCTGTGCCCCCTTCTACACAGCTGTATAAAATCCACATTGAACTGGATTATGTGGCAGTGTGGACTCAGGGCCCTTCCAGACAGGCTCTATATGTATATCTGATTCCAGGTTTTCTGTTTATCCCAGATTATCTGGCAGTGGGGATTCATATACTCCAGTTTAACACAGAAAACTTGGGATGAGTTCCTGGGATAGAGGATGTAACAAAATTACTAATTTTAAAGGAAGTTTTAACTGTGTTTTGTAATGCTGATATATGTCAGATGCAGGCAGGAGTTGGCTACAGCTGATTGGTTGATGCGTTACCATAGCAGTGTAGCCCCTGCAGTAGAAATGTATCCATTTCAGTTTAGCTAGGAGCAAAAGGGGCGGAGCTAACTAAAAGTGGGAAGACATTTTCAATATGGAGGCAGTCTTTAGCCGGATGAGCTAAAGGGATGATCTCTCTGGCTATATGAGAGCTGGAATAAGGAGGTTCCTATTCTAAGCTAAAGTCTTTGATATTTAAAGTGTTAAAGGAAACATTTAAAAGTAGAATCTATCATGTGAGGGCATGTGTGCTCTGTTCATTTGTTGTTCATTCGTTCAGTCGTCTCCGACTCTTCGTGACCTCATGGACCAGCCCACGCCAGAGCTCCCTGTCGGCCGTCACCACCCCCAGGTCCTTCAAGGTCAGTCCAGTCACTTCAAGGATGCCATCCATCCATCTTGCCCTTGGTCGGCCCCTCTTCCTTTTACTTCCACTTTCCCCAGCATAATTGTCTTCTCTAGGCTTTGCTGTCTCCTCATGATGTGGCCAAAGTACTTCAACTTTGTCTCTAGTATCCTTCCCTCCAATGGGCAGTCGGGCTTTATTTCCTGGAGGATGGACTGGTTGGATCTTCTCGCAGTCCAAGGCACTCTCAGACTTTCCTCCAACACCACAGTTCAAAAGCATCGATCTTCCTTCGCTCAGCCTTCCCTAAGGTCCAGCTCTTACATCCGTAGGTGACTACAGGGAATACCATGGCTTTGACTATGCGGATCTTTGTTGCCAGTCTGATGTCTCTACTCTTTACTATTTTATCGAGATTGGACATTGCTCTCCTCCCAAGAAGTAAGCGTCTTCTGATTTCCTGGCTACAGTCTGCATCTGCAGTAATCTTTGCACCTAGAAATACAAAGTCTGTCACTGCCTCCACATTTTCTCCCTCTATTTGCCAGTTAAAATTCAGTCTGGTTGCCATAATCTTGGTTTTTTATGTTTAACTGCAACCCAGCTTTTGCCTTTCTTCTTTCACCTTGATTAGAAGGCTCCTCAGCTCCCTCTCGCTTTCAGCATCAAAGTGGTGTCATCTGCATATCTGAGGTTGTTAATGTTTCTTCCAGCCAATTTTCACCCCAGCTTTGCATTCATCAAGCCCCGCACATCGCATGATGTGTTCTGCATACAAGTTAAAAAGGTTGGGTGAGAGTATGCAGCCTTGCCGCACGCCTTTCCCAATCTTGAACCAGTCTGTTGTTCCGTGGTCAGTTCTGACTGTTGCTACTTGGTCCTTGTACAGATTCCTCAGGAGAGAGACAAGGTGGCTTGGGATGCCCATCCCACTAAGAACTTGCCACACTTTATTATGATCCACACAGTCAAAGGCTTTAGAATAGTCAATGAAGCAGAAGTAGATGTTTTTCTGAAACTCCCTGCCTTTCTCCATTATCCAGCGGATATTGGCAATTTGGTCTCTCGTTCCTCTGCCTTTTCTAAACCCAGCTTGAACATCTGGCAACTCTCTCTCCATTTATTGCTGGAGTCTTCCTTGCAGGATCTTGAGCATTACCTTACTGGCATGAGAAATAAGGGCCACTGTACGGAAGTTTGAGCAGTCTTTAGCATTTCCCTTTTTTGGTATGGGGATATAAGTTGATTTTTTCCAGTCTGATGGCTATTCTTGTGTTTTCCATATTTGCTGGCATATGGCATGCATCACCTTGACAGCATCATCTTTCAAGATTTTGAACAGTTCAGCTGGGATCCCGTCGTCTCCTGCTGCCTTGTTGTTAGCAATGCTTCTTAAGGCCCATTCAACCTCACTCCTCAGGATGTCTGGTTCTAATTCATTCACCACACCGTCAAAACTATCCTCGATATTATTATCCTTCCTATACAGAGCTTCATTTCAGTTTAGCTAGGAGGAAAAGGGCCAGAGCGAACTAAAAGGGGTTAGAGGGGACATTTTAAATATGGAGGCAGTCTTTAGTCAGATGAGCTAAAGAGAAGATGTCTCTGGCTATATGATTGCTGGAGTAAGGAGGTTTCTATTCTAAGTTAAAGTCTTCAGTCTTGATATTTAAAGTGTTAAAGGAAACATTTAAAAGTAGACTCTATCCTGTAAGGGCCTGTGTGCTCTGTTCATAGTTGAGGGATTTCTCCTTTTCTTTTTAGGGCAAGTTCAGGCTAAGTTCAGATTGATTCTGGAAGTTGTGTGTATGTGGGAAGTCCCTGGGGCCATTCAAAGCAGCAACCCCTCAAGCCCCGACCTAAGAGGTCTCCGGGAAGGCCCAGAAGCGCCCGCCTTCCTTCCCACTGAACTTCGGGCTCGCCTTGGCAGATGGTCCTCCCTCTGGAAGTCAGTCCTGGGAGGCAGGCAGAGAGAGAGAGACCCTCCTCCCTTCCCGCCCCTTCCTCCCTTCCCCTTGCCAAGAACGGCGTGGGCGTCCCCGCTATCCGCGAAGGGACTGAGCCTGAGCCCACCCCTCTCCCCCTCTGCCCTCCCTTTTGCGCACAGCCATTTCTCCCGGGTTGCCCCCTCCCTCCTTTGTTCTCCCGACCCCGCCCTCCCCTCGCTTTTTTTTGCTCGCCCATTGGCTAGCGCGGACGCCACTCCGGGGCGGGGGGGGGGAGAGGTGGGCGTTCGGGTCCCGTTCTCCCCGGCGCGGAGAAAGGAGGGTGTGAGAGAGGAGCGTGAAGAGAAAGAAAGAGCAAGAGAGCGCGAGAGCGAGCGAGCGAGCGCGCGCCCACGGCGGCCAGCTGTCCAGCGAGGGTCTGCTTCTCTCTCTCTCCGTCTCGCGCCAGGTAAGCCGGGCTCGAGCGCGCCTCTTTTGCCCCAGACGGGAACGGGGGTGACTGGAGCGCGGAGACAAAAGGCAAGCGGGCCTTTCTCTCTTAGCCTCTCCCTCTCTCTTGCCTCCTTTCAGGCAGGCCCTAAGCTTGGCGCCTGGTGGAGGAGGCTGGCTTTGCCATTCGGCGTTGCATCCCTCCTGGGCCCCGCCTGAGGCGTGGGAGGCACTCCACGCACCCTCCAGGCCTTGCCCCGCCGCCCTCAAGGCTTGTTCGGTGTCGGTTTGGGCTGATGGGAGCGGCCCTCACCGGCTTTTCACCCAAGAAAGCCCCACAGTGTGAAAAACAGCGAGTTCCGAGTGTCGAGGGGGAAATCTTTGGGCTTTTGTTTCACACACAGAGTGGGTTATTTGAAACAGAGTGTCAGGGTTCTAGGTTCAAAAGTATGACTAAAAACGGGTGAATCAGGCAATCTGTCCTTTCCTGTCTAGAGTTTCTTACACTCACTTTTGAAAATTCTGGAAAGTTGTGAATCATCCCCATTGGGAGTGACTAAAAGTCGTACCAGCTCAACCCCATCCACACAGCTGTATAAAATCATCATCATCATCATAATCACTTTATTTCTTAATTAGTCGCTCTCCACCAAGGTGCTCCAAGCGACTTACAATTTAAAACAGTTTATACACAATATAAAACATTCAATATAAAAACATTCAATATAAAAACATTCCACATAAAAACATTCAACATAAAAACATTCAGCAGTGACTATGGCAAAATTTGATCCGGTTACTTAAATGCACAACCAAACAGCCGCATTGAACTGGGTTATATGGCATTGTGGACTCAGGACCCTTCCACACTGCCATATAACCCAGAATATCAAGGCAGATAATCCAAAATATATGCTTTAAACTGGATTAGCGGAGGCACCTTCCACAAAGCAGTATAAAATCCCACATTATCTGGGTTGAAGTGGGTTATATGGCAGTGTGGACTCAGATAACCCAGCTGCCCTTCCACACAGCCATATCACCCAGAATATCAAGGCAGATAGTCCAAAATATATGCTTTGAACTGGGTCATCTGAGGGCCCTTCCATGCAGCCCTATATCCCAGAATATCAAGGCAGACAATCCCACAATATCTGCTTTGAACTGGGTTATCTGAGTCCACACTCAGATAATGTGGGATTCCTGCCTTGATATTCTGGGATGTAAGGCTGTGTGGAAGGGCCCATCCACACAGCCATATAATCAGTATAAATAAAAATGTAATGTTTGTTTGTGGGATTAACGTAATTCAATAACCACTGGATGAATTGACACCAAATTTGGACATAATATACCTATCAGGCCAGCAAGTGACCATCACTCAGAAAAACACAGCAGAAGAGACTCAATAAACAAAAAAAAACAAAAACAAAAAATACAACGCATGCGCAAAACCACAAATACACACAAACACAGATATATACACATATACACAAATACACACACACAACACATATACACAGACTGGGCCACAGCAACACGTGGCAGGGGATGACTAGTCCAGAATATCAAGGCAAAAAATCCCACAATATCTGCTTGAACTGGGTTATCTGAGTCTACACTGTCATATATTCCAGTTCAAAGCAGAAAATGTGGGCTTTTATTCAGCTGTGTGGAAGGAGCCTGAGTCCACACTACCATATAACCCACTTCAACCCAGATAATGTGGGATTTTATACCGCTATGTGGAAGGTGCCTCTGCTAATCCAGTTAAAAGCAGATATTATGGGTGATCTGCTTTGATATTCTGGTTTATATGGCTGTGTGGAAGAGCTCTGAGTGTTTTCCGGGATGCAAGTCTACAGTATTTTTTTTTCAAATTCTTCGACATGTACACGTTTCTTTGAACGGATGTTGAATGGATTGATCTGACTCAGACTTATTCATAACTTTTTTTTACTTCTGTGGTAAGGTTTGTTTCCAGATGACCAGATGAATATGTAACACGTTTTTGGTTCCTGAGTTATCAATGTCATTTCCTAATTGATTCTATCATAAAAACATGGAAAAGGTTTATTAGACTGCAATTTTTTTGTTTCTGTGGAGCACATTTTGCTTAAGTTTTTCAATGAATATCTGATAAGAGGCTCAACCAATTCAACATAGTTTGTGGCAGCCACAAAAACAAAGTTTCTGGGGTAGAACAGCTACTTTTAAATGAGAAATAACACTTTCAAACCAGGAACGGATTTTTTTCCAGATTTTTTTTACATAATTTAATGTGCCATGGCCCAATGCTATGGAATTGTGGGAGTTGGAGTTTTGCAAAATCTTTAGCCTCCTCCGCCAGAAAACACTGGTGCTTCACCAAACTACAAACCCCAGGATTCTATAGCCTTGAACTATAGTAATTAAACTGGTAACAAACTGTATTAATTATAAATAATAACAATTTATTTATTACCTGCCTCTTCCCATGGCTGAAGCCGGGTCACAGCACAATCAAAAACATACAAATACTACAAAAAAATTACCAACACACATATTAAAATGCAGTTCTGCTAAAGATACAGATCAGATCATTTCTGTAAATTACACATTCATCACATAGATGAGAGACCAAAACACGGGACATGACTTTTATGCTTTCAACTGGCTGGGTAAGCTTGGCGGAAAAGAGGGGTTTTTAGACAGTTTTCAAATTCTGACAGCTGATCTAGTTCTCAGAGCTTTTCTGGCAGGTCGTTCCTCAGTCTTGGGGCGACATATGAAAAAGTCCTCTAGGTGGTGGGTGGTGGTTGCCAGTCGGGTTCTGGCAGGCTGGAGCAGACACCCCCGCCTTCCGGGGACCTCAGTTTTCGAGACAGATTATACAGTGGGAGGGGGGAGACAATCCTGTAGCTAATCTGGACCTAAACCATGTAGGGATTTAAAGGTCAATACCAACACCTTATTCTTTGCCCGGAAACTAATCGGCAGCCAGTGCAGTGACTATAGGACAGATGTGATATTCTCACTCCTAGATGTTTCTGCAACCAGTCTGGCTGCCGCATTTTGAACCAGCTGGAATTTCCAAACTTGGTACAAAAATAGCTCAATGTAGAGTGCGTTGCAGAAGTTCAATCTTGAGGTTACCAGTGCATGCACTGCCATTTTAAGGTCCTCTAAATCTAGGGAGGGGTGCAGCTGGTTTATCAGCCAAAGCTGATAGTAAGCACTCCTAATCATCTCAACTACCTGGGCTGACATTTGGAGAGACGGATCCAGGAGCACTCCCAAGCTGCAAACACAGTCTTTCAGGGGGAGTGTCACCCCATCCAGAACTTTTTGACACATCTCCATCCCCAGATTAGGATCCTTGATGGCAAGAACCTCTGTTCTGTGTGTATTCAGTTTCAATTTGTTTTTCCTCATCCAGCCCATTACCTCCATCAGGCATTAATGCAGAGGAGATACACTGTCTTTAGCTAAAACTGTTTTTGAAGACATAGAAAATATATTTGGGTGTCATCAGCATACTGCTCACACCCTGTCCCATGCCTACGGATGATCTCTCCCAGCGGCTTCATATAAATATTAAAGAGTATTGAGGATAGAATGGCCCCTTGTGGGATACCACATAACAGCTCCTTTTTTGAGGAGCAGCTATCCCCAAGTGCCACCATCTGGAACCTGCCTGAGAAGCAGGACCGGAACCAGTGCAATACAGTGTGGATGTGTTCCCAAACCATTATTTTGAAACTTGGTGGAAATCATACCACCTGTCTAAAGGAGCAATTGTCTTAAAGTGCAGACTTTTCAATTTGATGGCTTCTGTTCTGGATTATTCTGTAAAATGGCTTTAATTTCTGTTTTAAATTCCTTTATAAAGCTCAGCAAAAGAATAAGTTACAATGAATGGCTTGAAGTGTAAACTTCAGAGTAATAGTTTGATTTACATTGTCTATATGAACATTCTGTATCAAATAAATAAAATGCACACTTCATCAGATGCAGGAATGAACTGAAGCAAAATAGAAAAATAAGCTGTGCTTTGTTTGTGGAAAGGGAAGTGGATAGATGTCTCATTCCTCTGTTTTGGGGTGAGACACCTTTTCAGCCTATGAGCTGCCACTCAAAGTTACAAGCGGATTGAGAGCAAACATCTCATTTTCATTCAAAGTGTTATCTACCATATATGAGAGGTATTAAGCACAGCCTGCAGAAGTGGAGTGTAACTACAAAGGGTATATCCGTGCAGTGTGTATTAAAGCCTATAATCGGTGTTCAAAGTGAGACAGACACAATCACATTTTAGGAATAGATCCTGCTCAGCTATCTCATGATCATTTCCACCTCAATAAAATATTCAATTTGAATAGACAACAAAGTGCGTCAGCCTGTGAAAAATATGGCAACTTCAAACAGAGTAAGGAGATACAAAATCCATACATAAATTGCACCAACATCAAGGATTTTTAATCCATATAGGATCATTGGATGAGTTTTATCTGTTCACTGAATTGAGCACAAAATTGACACATTTCCACTCTCCCTGCAATTTCCTTCTTGTTACCTAGACAATTGTGTTTGCATGCATTTTTTCTAGAGAAGGGCTCAGTATCTTTTATCAGATTCTCAGAGGGGCCTGTAACCCCGAAAATTGAGAATAATTGCCAGTAGTTCTAGCAGTGGTTTCAATTTTCTGCAAAACATGACTCATTTCTTTCTTTAAGTTTGTAACTCCCACCACCAGTAATGTATTATGCTCATATCCTTCCATAGATAGAATATATTTTCCACTTGGACACCACCACTCTGTAATACACACTATTTGTTTCTTTATATTATTTTAAACATATCTCAGTCAAATATCTGTAAGATCTTGTCCGGTTGTATCAGCTATTATTAATGTTGCTTTTTGAAAAAAAATCTACCTTTAAATCATATATTTAAGCTTTGTATTTCTATTCTTGGTTTTCTCTCTTCACTTTAGGAATCTCTTTTTGTTTCCCCACAGTTAGCTCTGTGTAGGCCTAT